TTCTGCATACAAGTTGAACAGATCGGGTGATAGGATGCAGCCTTGTCTAACTACTTTGCCAATTGGGAACCATTCTGTTTCTCCATGTTTTGTTATGACACTATCCTCTTGTCCTGAGTACAGATTCCTCATCAGGACTAGATGTGTTGGCTATTGCACATCAGATGTGTTGGCTATTGCCAAAAGCATTATTCTCTAGCTTTAACAGCAGATTTAAAGCCTCATGTGATAATCTCCTTGGTTACTTCCTCTGACCCATGGAGCAAACTGGTGTGTAGAAAGGACCTTTATAATCAGACCGTATGAATAGCCATAGGACTTTATCACACAGGGGAAATCTATAGTTTATCCCATACAAATCCCGAAAAAAAACCGCGTAATTACGCACAATGATTTCACATGACATCACACAAAAACTGCTATTAAAGTGGTCAGAAAGTGGTATTATCCCAGATCTTTTTACTTTCGGGATTTTAGTGAAAATGCATTTTCGATATTACTGTAATTGAGCATTTACTCTAGTGTGAAAGTCAAATTCGGTTTATTCACACAACAACCCTTTCACTTCCTGTTTTGCTTGGGCGACAAACATGGCAGGCAGACATGAGCCTCTCTGCTTTCTCTTTCTGCGCATGTGCAAGTATACCATTTCTAGTACATTTACGGATTTCTTTCACTTCTCTATGAAATATAAAAATGCCATTTTATCGCTTTTTACGTTATTTCACATTTATTCTAATTACGTGTGAAGTTCATTTGCGTGATCAAGCTCTATTTTCGCTATATTTTCGGGATGCTTTATTTGAGCTCTATTATCTTTTTAAAGACGAAACTGGCCCCCGTGTGATAAAGTCCTTAGAAATGAAAAACTTGTAGGTATGGTGATGAGGTGACAAGTTCAGTTTTAACAATGGTTGTTGAGGGGCAAAGACAGGCCTGGGGGGGTGGATGACCATACGAAAGGTGGAGCGAGTTTGGAAGGTGGTGGGTGCAGGTTGGAAACTGGAAGGAGATATGATAAATGAGCAAAACCTGAGGAAGTGGGGGATATTGTGTAAGGCATGGGACCTGTGAGGAGTGTCTATGTTTTATAACTTGACATCTCACACTGCCAAGCCCTCAGCAGTGGTGAGCAGCCTTCACAGAGACTTTGGTGCTTCCATCTTCACTTCAAATGACATTCACAAGATCACATACCTTCTGTTATCTTCGTTGATTGCCATACTGTCATTGCCTTCTCCTGAGGCTGAGAGAATGTGACTTGCTCACAATCACACAGTGGGTTTCATGTCTCAGCTGGGAATCGAAGCCTGGTCTCCATAGTCATAGTCCAACACTCGAACTACTATGTCATGTGTGCCTCTTCAATGTAGAAATAATGCAATTTGACACCACTTTAACTGCCATGCTGTCCTTCCTACAGAATCCTGGCATTTGTAGTTTTGTGAGGCACAGGGCCTTTGCAGACTGCCAGAAATAGTGCAAATTGAGTCCAATTTAAGGGTTAGGGTTAGTGCTAGGGAATCATGGGAACTGTTTTTTTTCTGAGACATTGAACCTTCTCTATCACAGAGCTCTGGTGCCACAATAAAATACAATTCCCATGATTCCCTAACCCTAACCCTTAAAGTGGACTCAATTTGCACTGTTTGAAGCAGTCTGCAAAGGCCTACTGACACTCTTTGGCAAGGAAGGGTAATGTGTAAAACTGCAAATCCCAAAATTCCTTAGGATGGAGTTTAAGCACTTAAAGTAGTGTCAAATTGCATTATTTCTACAGTGTAGAGATGCATCCCTAGACTCCTACAGCCACCATGGGCAGTGTATCTTTCTTAGCCACTGGCAAGACTCTGAAAAGCTGATAAAGCAGGAGATGAAGGCATGTTTAGCTCATCCACCCATCTCATTGCTCTTGTCCCCAACTTATTGGATAATTACACTTCAATGCCTTCCTTACAAAGAAAACAAACCCTGTTTATAACTTAACCAGCTACTCAGACTTTCTCTGTGGGGCAAACAAAGCTAAAAACATCTCATCTTGATTCCAGAAAATGAAGCATTTTTGATAAAAAGAAAACAGTTCCTCCCCCTCCATGTGTTTTTGATATGCCTCTATGGGAAATGCTGATTTGGAAAGAACTGCATATTACATATTTCTTCCAAGAAGCTAAAAGACAAAAAAATAAAAAATGCACTTCTATTTAACTTTTTTAAAAAATACGTTCATAATTTGTTCTGTCTGCTCTTTTCAAAACATATAGCCTTAAACCTGTCTTTTATAAACCATATTCCTTAAACAACCAGCAGAGTTATGTCTGCTCCTCTGGATGTTATCACACAGGGTCTAAAGCAGACCCAATCCACACTAAATCCCGTC